TTTTTTTTACACAAAACTGTCACGAAACATTCTTTTTTATCAAACTTAGTATTATCAAAAAAATGCCCTCAAATCCAAAAAGGTTAATTAGCACTGCAACATTATCCAATGTTGTCATGGTAACACATTTTGAAGGACTATATATATTATTTTAAATTGGCAGCAATTGTATTCTAAGAATCAATATGAATGTAAGTATCATAGTTTATGATGGAATCATTATTATTCTGCTGGTTCTATCTTTATTCTCTTTGTCATTGGTTCACTACTTTGGTTGGAATCATCATCTTCAACCTTGATGGTGATCGGAAGATCAGCATCCACTGGTTCTTGTTTTATGGTGATAGTGGGCTGCTCTTTTTGTGCCTGGGCATCGCCAGTAAAGATGATCTGACCATCTTGAGTGACTACCCACTGACCGGGCTTATCACTGCTGGACATTGGGATATGAACCGGGGTATCACCAGATGCGGTAACAGTAGCTGATGCAGACTCAGATGTAGACGCCACTGGAACCTCTCCATCTCCTCCAGCCAATTCTTGAGATGACGATGGATTCTCAGAAGGTGTCTTATTGTTGTCGATGTCGATGAAGAAGGGATGTTTGACATTTGGTGGGAAAGCCCATTCCTTCTGTGCTTGGTAGAACATCATGTAAGGATGGCTGTCGGCATTCTCAAAGTAAGTCTGGTCAGTGACATTTCGGCAGGACGTTCTATTCTTATGCAGGTGATGACAGTTGACTTTGTTTTCCTCCTCCAACATTAAACTGACTGAAAAGATGCCAGCTTTAATTGAAGGACCTTCATGACTGATGACTGCGTACAAACGATACGATATCACTTCATCAATCGATTGCACCATCAATGCATGTGGAATGAGAACATTGGCCATGGAATTCTTCAGACCAGTCTCGCTGAATCGTGCAATACGTACCATGAGTGTAGCAGGAAGTGACGTAATACTGGATTGGTTCTTTACAAGTGCAGGAGGGCATCCGCAAGGTGGCGCAGGGCAGACTGTTTCCTCGGTTTTGAAAAAAGCCTTCACTGCTTCTTCCAAAGAGAATGTGATCTCCTGGGGCCCTTGGAAACTGACTCCTAACATGTTAGTAATTTTAGGTGCTGATACATGGCTGGGATTTCCAGAACAAACACTCACCTCTCTTTTAAAGATGCTGAAGAGAGAATCAGTGACATCACTACCAAACAGACCTTGCAGCTTAAAATTCACTGCCATGAAGTACTCCAAGGCATCAAATTCTCTTTCAGTGTTGAAGGTACGGTTGCCATGGAAATGCTCTGATGCAAAACCATCTTTCACAGCGTTAGTTGTGGTCCCGTTGGTAAAGAACAAAGCATCCAGAATACAATAAACACAGCTAGGTTTTGGTTTGGTTTGTCCCCCAATATATAGATGACTACACGGTATAGTCTCTTGTAGAAGTTGATGCATTGGCAATGTCTGGCGTAACACTTGTAAAACCGTTGTGAGATAAGTCTGGTGTTGACTATAGGGAATCATCAGAATACGATCCTTCGCCAACAACTTTTTGAAGACAGGTAACTGCTCATTACGACTCTGTTTCTTACGTAGACCAGCCTTGAGTTTTTCTGCTGCTACAGCTGGACTAGAAGAAACTGTGGCAGTTGCTGAACCACCAGCAGCACTGCAATAAATAAACATCAAAGAAAAGTTAGAAAGAACTTCCATAGGTAGAGTAAATATATAAAAATTAAAAAACAAGACTCGACCATTAACCCTTATCTGGTTAAGTCAATGTAAAGTGCATGGGGTTGACAGGATAAGGGTTAAATAAGCACCCAGTTGGCTGATGCAGCTTTGCACTTCAATATGAGAGAATATATAGCTTCAAATAGCGAACGCAACAAACGGAAGTGATGGAAATTGAATTTAGTGAAAAAAATAAACTAATCATTGAAAAAGTATTTAACACTTTTCACAGTGATAAACAGTTTACCTAATTCATATATTATATT